TGGCGGGCTGTTCGTCCCTCTTTCGCCGAGCAGCCCTTGACCAAGGAAGGCGCCCTACTCGACGAACCAGGGCACATGGGAACCCGTGGGCTGGCAACGCCGCCATTGCAATCTGGCACTTTCTCGGCAGCCATGAGCGACTCGCTTCTTCTGGGAATTGGATGGGCGCCGATCCAGCCGACGGCCAGCAAAACCCAAGCACGAGCGACCGCCGATCGTCGAGGCGAAGGCGGCTCCACCCGATGAAGGCCCTGAGACCACGCCGCACGGCCTGGGCGTGCCCTTCTTTGCATCCCTGATCAGGGTCTCATCACTGCAACTGGACCGACGCGCGCGTGCGCGCGTGTGTGTCCGAGCAACGCCCCGGCCTCGTTGCCGTTGTGCGTCTTGACATCTGCGTTCGTCGCAGACGCGTCTCTCGTCACCGGCCAGGAGAATGGCTGCTGATGCGCCAGCATCAGCCGTCCACAGACGTCCTTCACCAGCGCGTCTGCAGGGTCAAGCCTTGGCAGCCAAAGGGGTGTGGCTGCGGGCGTAGTTCGTGAACAGCACCAAATGAACGAAACCCAGAGCTTGGCGGCATGACCTGCGCATGGTCCCGCTCTGTGGACACGTTGATGCTCGAGCGAGCGTTCGTTGCGAACTCCTTGACCAGCCAGCGTTGAAAGGGACTGACAAAACAATTGTCCCTGTTGTCCACCGTGACGATGGAGCTGCCCGACTCAGGAGCTGTCTCCGCCATCCTGTCAAGGACGCGGGGAACTGGAGCCTTTCAAGGGTTACGGGCGTCAGCCACCTGCGGTCAGCTCGGTTGCCACGGTAGTGATCACCGCTTCGCCAGCCCCGATGCTCACATCATCGCCGAGCGGCCATGGCAGGACCTACAACCCCAGGCCCTAGAACTAAAGATCAAAAGCCTTGGCAGAGATCCTGCCACGTTCCTGCCAAAATGGCATCCGGAAACGAGCATGCTTAATCAGGCAACGCATCTAATATGATCACTTCCAAGCATGCGGGATGATCAATCTCAAAAGATTTGGGAACATCCGAGATCTAGAGGAGAGATCAAATCAAAAGGGGTCCTGAGGGAACCTCGCAAACAGACAAAAAGGGGAACCAAGGGAGCCAAAGAGGGAAAGGGGGGCCCAACTGACCCTCATGTCCTAGCCAAGCCAGCCGACAACATGTGAACCAAATGAAAACAAACATGCACCAAGAAATCAATCAACCAACCAACCAACCAACCAACCAACCAACCAACCAACCAACCAACCAACCAACCAACCAACCAACCAACCAACCAACCAACCAACCAACAACCAATCAATCAATCAATCAATCAATCAAGCAATCAAGCAATCAAGCAATCCAATTCAATTCAATGCAATTCAGTTCAATTCAAATCAAGTCAAATCAAATCAATCAAATCAAAACAATCAAGAGGAAGAAGAAAAAGAAGAGCAATGCTTAGTGTTGTCATCCTGTGTCTTCCCAACTGGCCATTCTTCCAACAGCTTTCCAAATGCTTGTACTCATTGCCGTCCGTTTACCAAAAGCGTTGAGTACCACGCTCCCTTTCCCAGCCTCTGCGCATTTGGACCAGGCACCCTCTGATTCCATCCCTGCCAGTGTGACAGAATAAATCAAGCTCAACGAGCATGCAAGAGCCTAAGAGCCTGCCTCAGGCTGTGGCCAGCGCCAAGATTTTCTCGATTTGCCACAGCTCAAACACTTGCATGCGTGGCACTGTCCCGTTTTGCATTGACCTCATGCACTTTCAGAACCATTCCAACGCTGATAATAAAGGGCTAAGACCCTTGTCCGTGAATTTCAATTGGGGACCCTGGTGGACGTCCCAGTATCTTGCTACCCTTGAGCCAACCTGTTGGCCTATTAGACCCTGGAGCCCGGTGAGGCCTTGCACCAGCTGATTCTTCTCGAAGCTTCTGATGGACAAAGCCCGCAAAACAGCCTGGTGCAAATATGCGAAGCAGGAGACGCGGTTGCAAGTGACAAAGCAAGAAAGGGCCTGCGAGTGCGAAATTCGGGGAGCGAAGTTACTGAGTCAGGGAAACATTGAGAGTCACATTGTTCATGCCGCAAACCGGGTTCCTCCTCGTCCTAGGCTCAGAGCTCCGAGTCGTGCCTCTTCATATGCATCTGGGGCTTCAGTGGCACAGCCCGCTGCCTCCGCCTACGTATGAGATGCCAAAGCTTCGAATGGAAAGGCCAGCATTTCAAGCATTTCTCTGACTTCTTTTCAAAAAAACACCCAAAGCCTCGCCAGACTGGCACGGCAGTAGGAAAGCAGCTCCATATCAACTATCAGCACACACGTCAGAAGCAAATGGGTGGCGTTCCTGACTTGAAAACCCAAGGGCAAGTGGTTCCTACTCAAGCTTACCTGTACCCGCTGAAGGAAAACTCTGGATGCGTCACATCCTCAGGAGCGGTTGAAATGCAAAGCTGCTTGACTCATATCCGAGGTTCCAATGTTGGATTCCATATCAATGCAATGCATTTTCCTTGCACGACCAGCACGATGGCATCATTGACCAAGAGCTGGACATTTCAACATCATAAGCTTGTCAGAGAATCTTTAGGCTCGAACAACCAAGGGGTGTTTCTGCTATCACCAGCTTTTGGCTCCAAAGCTGGCAAAGGTTCGCTCTTCAGCCGTGGGCATGGGGGCGAGCGCGAAGCACTTCGTAGCTTCCCCTGCCTGCTTCGCGCCTTCGAGGGCGCGGGCTTTGAAGTCCTTCACCCTGGCTGAGCCATTTCTGTCCAGGAGGGAACAGTTTGTAGGAGCAGGCTGATTCTCTCAAAGCAAACAGCTTGTATGTTCCAGAAGCCTAGTTCACTTTGAGAGAACCTCCTGGATCTACAAACAATACTGAGCTTCAGATAAGATCTACCCAGAGCCTGGTCAGGTGCGAGTTGCTCAGTGTGTAGCAATCCTTGCACCACAGTCCACTGCGCTCAACAAACGCCAAGATCATCAAGGCGAGATAAACACAAGCGGCATTTCCGCAAGGCAGTAGCCAATCCCCAGCTATGCTCTTTGGTTCATTGATGGATCACAGCCAGCCATTGTAAGCCCGCAGCGTGGCAGAGGCGGTCGAGCTCGTCTTGGGGCAAAAGCCGCACGCGCTTCTCCAATCGAAGGCAGGCGGAGTCCACCTGCCACGCGAGCCCCTCAGTTGGAAAACAAGTTTGAGGAAACTCAGGTCAGCGCAAACCGTACATAGACTAATTGGTCCAGTATTGTTTCGCTTTGCAGCCTGTGCAATGACATGGAAACGTCCGGGCTCTGCGTCTGCCAAGCAACGCCATTGTGCTGAAAGTAGATCTCATGCAGGAAGCCTAGCCTCACGGTGGGACTCAGCGTGCAGCGTAGCAGATTCGCCGGTGCTACCCTCAGACTTGTTGATTTTGTTCAGCTCGGCCATTCAAAGATGGCAGTACATGACATCACCAACAAATCCGTGAGTTCAAGCATGCCCAAGGCCAAAACCAAATGCCTGTGTCACAGCCAAGAGATGGTGGCAGTGACTCCGAGATTGGGACATGAAAAAGTTGGCGAAGAATCCTGGGCGTTGTCAGGCTCCAGTCTGCAAGGAGTGGTGCCCCCACTTTAGATTTGCAGTCAAAAGAAAGAGTGCTACTGGCACGGGTCTTGCAGAATAATTGCTTACTTCTGGCGCCAAGAACCTCATCAAGGAGGTATCCTGCACAACATTTGAGTTATCTTGTCCAGGCCCTCGCATGACACATGGGCTCATGACTGTGAAGATCAAGTGCTGCCCAGCCGGGAAGATTGAATCACTGGTCCGCAACTATCATTGTGTGCAAATGCGAAAAGCAAGGCCACCGCAGCCAGGAATCTTTCCAGCAGCATGCCCACTGTCATTCGGCGCTGGAAAAAGTACGAGGACCGCACCAAGGCCTTCACTGCAACTCAGCTGAGGTTCATGCAGGAACACGTCGGCCCTTTAGCCAAAACCAAGCAGACAGTCTGGCCTGGTAGACTTGCACAGAACCTTCCTTCACGGGCTTCATGTCCTGCGCAGCGTTCTTCTGGCTGATGCTGACATGCGAGTTGCCGTGCCAGAAAGGATAGTTGTGTCGTCATCCACCTCTATCTAACAAGGACTGAGCAGCCTATAGACATGTTTTTGCCTATAGGCTGCGCTTGAACAAGGTTGGATACGCGCCATCAACTAACCTCACCCCGCAACTTGTGCAGGCTGAGTAGACATCCATTCGGACTCGCGGAGGGCACAGTCCATTTGTATCAATAGTGCACAAAGAGCACTTAGAACTTGCACTCCCAACAAGCGACGCATTGCCTTCAGCTTCACAAAGAAGGAGTAGCCCAAGGACTGAATAGATCCTGGAGCAAAAATCCGGAGTTCTTCACACCAGTCATAATTCAGATCAAGCCAACCATCATCAAAGGCTGCGTTTGGAAATCTGGCTCGCTAGTAGTTTAGTCGCGAAAAGGACACAGCTCCAAGACCACCACAAGCATTCACTCCCATGGCCGCCAAATGTTCATGCCTACACATGAAGAAAAAGGTAAATGCACCGCAGGCAGTGTCCTCTTGAAAATGTGTCTGCTGGTCTGATGTGGATCTCAAGAGTCAGGCAGTTGTGGCTGCGCTTGCATAGATCCTCAGGGCATCATGCAAGGCTTGGCGCAGAAAACTGTGCTGGCAAGGCCCAAGGCAAGAAGCCACAACTGCCTTCGTGAGTAGTTGCTAGCACGGAACGCAAGATCTGTATTTATCAACAACTCTGCTTGCCAGCCACCAGTAAACTTGCAATCCGATGCCGCGTCTGCCAACATCAACCAGAAACCCGATATGAACCTCTTGAGCTTCTTGGTCCACTCACGCATGGTGCAGTGCAGCAAAAGAATTGCCTCCAGCGATGAACACAGCCCTTAATCTGACCTAAGCTGACGTCAATTTGAGCTGCCCAAATCTTGTCTCACTTGTCAGAGCCCCTCCTCTTTCCAGGTTTTCAGTCGGAGGTCATCAGTGCCTCACTGAAGCGCTTTGGTCGGTTCTCTGGGATCAAGCACGGCAGGGTGGCAAGCCTTAGCCCTCACATGTATTGCGAAAAACAGATGACCTGGTGGCCCTTTGCACGCAATAATGTTGCGCTTGAAGGATATTCAAAGGTGCCCAAGCTGTAAGCACAGCGCGGCCGTTCTCCCACATGAAGCTCGCGTCAGGCTCCTGCCAGGCAAAATCCCACGCAAACAGAACCTTACGTTCATCACAGCAAAGCAGTCCATAAACGATGGGAGAAATTGGTAAAAAGGCTTCGCCATTCACTGCTTGGGTTGCAGGACATCTGTCTTGGCTGATCTGGACACTCAAGGCCACCCCTCCTCGCCATGCAGGCCTTGCTGGCAAGGCTGTTTGATGAGCGCTGCATATGCCACGTCATGTGAAGAAATCCCATGGTTACTGGCCGTAGAATGATTGATGTTGCACATAGAGGGGGCAATCAAATTATATTTGCAGTATCTGAACCAGTGCTAGGATCATGCTGGTCCAGCTGTCTTAAGGGTCGTGCTGAGCGCTGCCACAATCGCTTGTCGGTGAAAGCCTATGCACCTTGAAACCATACTTCTCTTCACAAGAACCCTTGCTTTCAGGTGCCATTGGCTGAACGCTGATGAGCCACTGTCACAGCTTTGGGAACATTAAAAACCCCGCAGTTTGTGTGGACAACTCAACGAGTCCTCCATATTTCTCCCAAAAGAACTGTATATGTGACCGAACCTCAGATCTAAAGCTACAAAAAGGCTGACACCAAAAAGAAAGAGAGAGAGAGAGAGAGAGAAATATAGAGAGGCAGAGAGAATGTTTTCATGTTACGAGCGACCTTGAGTCTGCGATTGCTGTCGACAAATCTACACGTTCGTTGGCACAAGTGGACCCGTGGTTTGGAGAATCTGTGCAGTCATCGGGTGTCATCCTGCATGTGCTCGGGTGTGGGTCTTCCTGAGCCCCTGAGCCCGCGGCTGGCACATTGCGGGCAGGCGTCCAGCACAGACTGCAGAAAGCCAGGCACCTTTCGCTGCACGCCGGATCTGAGCATCTGAAAGAGAAAACACCCAGCTACTTGCAGATTGTTTTTTGGCAAAAAACAACTCCAAGAGAAAAATGCATGCCGGCCCCAACGAGTTGGCGAGTAAATACCTGGCTATGCCTAGTTTTTGTTCAGGAGTCTATTGTTTTTAGTGTTGGTCTGTTGGGTTCTCTGCAAGATGGTCTGCCTTGGACGAAGACGAAATGTTTGGTGAAGTATGGTGCGGAGATGCTTTTAAGTTTCTCATGCTTTGCAAAGCATCACGAAACACACCCCACCAGTGCAAAACTAGCACAAGCGTGTGACAAACCCAACCAACTCAATCAAACAACACAATTCATGGAGATCAACAAACACAAACACTATGGATAACTATAACTTGCGTGTGGTGTATATGTATATACAGGTACATATTCTGATGTTGAACAACAAACACACACACACACACACACACAAATACTTAACGGAATAAAATATGTTTCTTATTCTTCATACAAAGATTTGTGGATATAATGATAAAACGGGACACACAATATCTTGTGTGACTTGGCACTTCAAAGATTGCTTTGACAACACCGCGCGATGGCTGGCAAGTTCTGCAGGTTTAAGAATGTGTTTCTCTGAGTATTGGTTTGTCAGGACTGGTATGCGTTCTACACGCATTCCAAGCTCTTGCACTATAGCTTATGACGACGCAGATGTGTGGTGTAGTGGGAAATGCAATGTCATTGTGATGAGTTTATGCTAGCTGACTAGCATGTATTGGGACTGACTGAAGGACTGTAACATTGGGGAATTGTTGTGGTCTCTTGTAGGTTTTCGCTCGGACGGTTGAACTCAAATCATGGGTTTGAAACCAGAACTGGAAAGAAACTGTTAGAGAAGCATAACGATAGTTGCTGCAAAACTCTGAGGCGAAACATATTTGAACATCTTGATTGGTTGACTGCCCACGCTCCCGAATCTGATGGCAATGTAAGCAAAGTTGCCGTTCTGGGCCAACTGTCCGCGTACAGCTGAATCCGTGTCTTAAGGTGGAGGTTGGAATCCCCAGGCAGCTGTTCAAGCCTATAAATGGTGCGTTTAGCTTCCACGACTGTGGAGTGGTGGTGGAGTGACTGTGCGTTGTCCTGGCATGGTGTTGCCTCTTCCGGCTAAGCAAGTCTTTCGCACGGGAGCTGAAGAGCTGAATGGTCATGGCTTTTCAAAACTGTCTCTGTCCGATTTGCAGCCTGAAAGGTGGAGCTTTCAGCCCGATTGGCAGTTCGGCCCTTGGGGCCTTGGGGAACGTTCGATTGGACCTGACCGTGCCAATGCGTTCCAGGTCTTCACTATCCCAGCCTCTTTCTCGGGGATCGTGATGATGTTCTCAGGATACAAAGACCTGGTAATCATAGCCTCGGCACTGCATGTATTTTTCCCGACATTGTGTCCAACCTTGTCACACACACTCCTCAAACAACTCCGCTTCAAGCACAATTCGGTGCTTCCGAGGGAACCACTGTGGACCAAAGCCCTTCAACTGCTTCCCCGCTCTCGCTTTGATTCCTCCGTGCCAAGGTGACACCAGGTCGCCAGCCGTGTGGAAAATGGCAGAGGTAACGCAGACCAGAACCTGGGAAGGCTAGAAAAGCAATTGTTTGAGGCCGTCCTAGGGTTGGCCCTGGATGCGGGTAGGCGTGTGGAAAACTACCAACAATGCTGTCCATTTCTCAGCCAGAGGAAAACATCACACTGCAAAATCCGCAAGTTTAAGATGTCTGGCCAGGGCTGCATCAGCGTTCGAGGGAGCAAAGCTTGTGCAGCAAAAGGCTGCCTGAGTCTGTGGCATGGGCCACAGCTGAGTTCACAAAACACCAGAAGGAGAAGCCGAGCTGGAACCTGTCCTGAGGTCTGCAACATGTGTATGGACATTCATGTCGACCAACTAGGTGTTGGGGGGTTCCCCGTGAAACTGCGAGACTGTTAACGTTGCCCGTTCCAACCCTGCTACATCTGCTATTCGGGCTGAGGGGAGATGGGCTTTCACAAATGCATCTGGTTTGTGTCGGGGCCAGAAGAACGCTGACAAGCACAAGCGAAATGCACTGTCACCAAAAAACCTGGCACCTGAATTCAATAGGAGTTCCCAGCTGCGGATCCTGGTTCCTCTTGCCGGCGTGCATACTCTTGCTCATGAACAGCAACCGCGAAACAAAGCAAGTTGGCACGTTCCCAAGTCGAGCCGACCGTCCAGCAATTGAGGTGAATGCAAACAGCACAAAGTCGCTCAAAAGCTCCTGCTGCTCGGTGGTTGGGCAAATTGGCCTCATGTGTGATACCGCCAAAGACTGGGAGACTGCGCCATCTCGCCCAAAATCCTGGTCCAGCTTGCGCTTGTTTGACTTCCCAGGAACGTCAACGAGACATGATCTACGGTCAAAATCAGCGGCTGCCTAAATGGATATGGAAAAATAGGCGTGTCCAATAGAAAGTCCCCCAGTGTCCGTCCCAAATTGACGATAGACTGGATTGCAGGTCTATGCCGAGCTGCACGTAGAACCAGCCGCTGCGGCGAGGAGAGCCCCAGGCACTGAAGTACCCCAGCACAACCTCAGGTCCATGGAATGTCCAAAGGTCCTTGGAGCCTATCCAACACTAATGAAGACCAGGTCAACCACGACCTATCTTGTGTTTACTGTTTATTTCTCGGAGGCTGATCTGGTGTGTAATGTGTGTGCATCTCGATTGAGATAAAATAGCATTGCATGTTCTGCCGAGCCATGCTCACTTTGATAGCACAGCCATGAGAACAGCTCGCAAGGCCCCGCAATAACTACGTATTTGTGTTGCCAACCCCCTTGGCAGAAATTGGTGGATGAACCTAATATCTGATGCTGACAAGTATGCCAAGTAAAGTCTCTATCCACTAGGAGATTCACTGGCTCAGCATGCTCAGCCAAGCAGCCAGGACTATCGCTGCCAAATGGCGAAGAAAGCCTGGTCCGATCATGGCATGCGGCTGCAGGTTTGCAATCTGGCAGTGGATGTACAAGTACCTCCCACAAACATGCATGGGCCTTGAAGCATAGCGTCACGTGAAGCCGAAGGGTTTGCATCCCAAAAGCCTCAGGTGATGGCTGCGTGTGACAGTCTTACGCCCTGTGCGTGTCCTTCAGCATGCATGTCTAACCCGTTGAGCTGTCTCGTCTTCTAAACTCTGCGACCTCAGAATGTCCCCCGCTGTCACTTTGACAGCAGATGCAAGCAGTGCCCATTGAGCCGAGAAACGAAAGAGCACATAGAGGGCAAAAAGGCCGCTCACCTGTTCAGCCGGAGACGCTAGGGCCGCTAGGGCTGTGATTCTGGAACGCCTTGCGGTAAGAGGAGATCCGACTTCCAAGCTTCTCAAACAATCTGTCTGGCTGCGCATCTTGCAAAAAGGAAGCTGACTCAGGCATTGGCCACGTACCAAGCCAGGATGCCAAAAGCCTTGGCTCTGCAAGTGCAGGAGGAGGCACAGTTCCCACAAAGTTTCATTAGGGAGGCGGACAGAATTGGACACATTGCCGTGCTTGCAGTCTATGCTCTCTTGTTGCCTCCAATGCAAGGATTCACAAGCACCTCCCAACTGTTCATTACCTGCTTCAGGCAGTACTGCCGACTTCAGCCAAGAAATTTGTAGTCTGCCACAACACAAGGGTGTGCGCAGAAAAGGGACGAAAGCATCTCTCATCCACCTTCCGGTCACCTACCTTTCCAGAAGCTCGCTTGGTGGCTAGATCTGAGGCACCCCGGCCATGAGTTGTACCCAATCAGCTTGGCCATGGTTCCAGAATGCTGCCACAATGTCTTCATGAACTGGCCAGCCGCTTTCCTTGGCAGATCAGTCCACAACCCCAGGCAGTGTTGCAGGAAGTGCCATCCCAGTATAAGCTTCCCGGGCCTGCGCCATATCCGCCGACCCCTCGCCAAAGAGTCGAGGCGCGCGGGAAGAGTGGCTGGCACATGAGCATAACCGAAGATTCATGATCATCATCATCATCATCAGCAGCATCATCATGATGCTCATCATCATCCTCATGATCATCATCACGGTGATCATCAGACTAGGTTGATCCTGCCAGTAGCTTGTCTCGTTCTCCTTATCGTTTGATATACATGTACGTGTTGGTGATGCTGCACAAGTTTTAGCTCTCACGGTAGGAACCGTCAGCATAACATCACCAACAGGATGATAATCATCACTACGCTTCCCCAGAATCTCCCAGCATATCCAGCCCGGCTTGACAGCAGTGAGTAGTGCTTTGATTCATCATCATCTCATCATCCTCAGCATCATCATCATCATCGTCGTCGTCATCGTCGTCCTTGTCTTTTTAATATATGTTTCAAGTGTGCAGTTAGACCCGACTTGAGATGCAAAGGATGCGTAGTCATGATTACTATCAGGACTGCTGGTTATGCTGGGAATGCGTAGTGATGATTATCATCATGGCTGTCATCATCATCATCATCATCATCATCATCATCATCATCATCATCACATATTGGGGATGAATAGTGACTCATCCTCATCATCATCATCATCATCATCATCATCATCATCATCATTATCCATCATCATTTTCCATCATCATTATCCATCATCATCTCCTGGTGCTCATTATCATCATCATCATCATCGGCGTCCTTATCTTTTTGCTTTACGTTCGAAGTCATGAGTATCATCATGACTGCTGGTGATGCTGGGGATGAGCAGTGATGATCATCCTCCATGGTGCTCATCATCATCATCACCACCATCATCATGATTCGTCACCCTTATCTTTTTGACATACGTTGTCAAGTGTTCCGTTAGACCCTACTTCAGATGCAAAGGATGCGTAGTCATGATGACCATCATGACTGCCGGTGATGATGGGGATGCGTAGTGATGATGTTGGGGATGAGTACAATAGTGATGATCCTCATCCTCATCATCCTCATCATCCTCATCATCATCATCATCATCATCATCATCATCATTAGTTCATCTTTATCTTTTTGATATACGTTTCAAGCAAGCCGTTAGACCCGACTTGAGATGCAAAGGATGCGTAATAATGATTATCAGCATGATGGCTGCTGGTGACGCTGGTGACGCTGGGGACGCATAGTGATGATGATCATCATGGCTGTCACCCTCATCATCATCACTGGCGTTGCCGATCATCCTCATCATCATCCATCATCATACATCATCATCTCCTGGTGCTCATCATCATCATCATCATCATCGTCGTCCTTATCTGTTTGATATACATTTCAATGCCGCCGTTCAAGTCGGATCTAAGGATGCGAAGTCATCATTTCATCATGGCTGCTGGTGATGCTCGGGTCATCATCATCCTTCATCATTCTCATCATCATCATCATCATCAGCAGCATCATCATAGACAGCGCTTGGGATGTTAGTGCCGAGTCACGATTATCATTATCATCATCATCATCTTCTTCTTCTTCGTCGTTATCGTCATCGTCATCATCATCATCATCATCATCTGGGGTGGCGGGTCCGCAGGACTGCTGGGCGGCTTCAAAGAGAAGGTCCGTGTCACGGTGTTTTTTTTGGCACTTCAGCGATCGGGGGTCGGTGGCACTGGGCGGCAGCCCTTGAATGCTTGTAAAGTGTCCAAAAGCTAACTTAAATACACAGAGCAGCAATCTTAAATACAAAAAAATGCTGGTGTGGATGTGCTGTGGATGTGGCATGGGTAGCAAATGTGCGAGTGCAGTGTGTCAAGTTCAGCCTCCTCTTTGCTGCTCGGTTTTTTTTGCCTTTCAGATTCTCATATGCAGGATTTGAATGGATGTAGGCCTGCAGGCCTGCATCGACTTTAAGCTGCAAGCCTCATGGCCAAACATCAAGGCAGGGCAGCACTGAACACTGCTAATTTGCCACTGAACAAGTGGCCCCTTCCTTCGCTGAATAAGTGCAGTGTGGCATTGTTCAAGTGCCCCTCCCCCTGTGTTGCTCTGAGAGTCTCTTTTTTCAGGATCCCCATGTGCAGAATCTGAAAGCGTGCAGGCCTGCAGGCCTGCATCAACTCTAAACAGCAGGCCCCAACATCAAGGTGGGGCAGCGCTGAACAAGTGCTGCTCATGCCACTGAACAAGTGGCCCCTCCCTGCATTGAATCAATGCACTGTGGCAGTCTTCAACTGCACCCTCCCCCTGTGTTGCTCTCATGTTGTTTGCCTTTCAGATTCGCATGGGCAGGGTTTGAATGGATGTAGGCCTGCAGGCCTGCATCAACTCTAAGCTGCAAGCCCAAACATCAAGGCGGGGCAGCACTGAACAAGTGCTGCTAATGCCACTGAACAAGTGGACCCTCCCTGCAATGAATCCGTGCAGTGTGCCACTGTTTAATGTGT